AATGGACAATTAGCTGGAATCTGGAACACACCGTCCAGAAAATTACCCAACTCTGAGTTAAAGCTGAAGACTTTGGACAGTTCTCACTTACTCAACTGAATAGTCTGCCAGAAAATGTAGGAATAAAAACCAGTTATAACTCCTGGCTAACCATATGCCTGATCCAAACCCAACCTCACTCACCATACTTAGTTCCCAATCCCTCACGCTGACACAGACCTTGTGGGCACCTGAGCTCCATCACCATATCACTTACTCCAGGTGGAGCAGACTAGATTGGTTGTAAGGCCTATTTCTACTCCTACATCTTATGGTTCAGGTTCAACATGACACCTGATCCTACTCCACTGCCACCCACCTCACAGACAAGACCTAACTTGACTGACCACTGACCCCTCCCTCGAGACTTGACTTGACACGACCACCTTCTCAAACGAGCTCCCGACTCCTCCTTGAACCTGACTCCTCACCAACACCTCTCCTTGCTTTGGACCTGACCTGGCTGTCCCCATACCCCATGAACTAATCCTATTAGCCGCTAAGCCACCTACAGAATCATCTACCCTGCCTCCCTATTTATTTTCCCATTTGCCATTATAATCATGCTATCATTCTACCTATCTTTCCTCCTTTCCTTATACTCATTCACTAACAGTAGTTTTCGTTGCAGTGATACGTTTCTGGGATAAGTGGAAATACGAAGCAGTCAGACCAACTACCACCGTATTCAATGGTGTAGCAGGCTCGGGAGGCCTAATGGCCAACTTATGCACCTAATTCATATGTTCATATGTTTCGTGTTTCTGAAGCACCTTTCCGATGAATCCAGTCTGAAACCTAATTTTCCTCTTTAACAGTGACTGGAAGACTTCTCAGTACTATATTTCCTCAGCAAGCTGTATCTGCCAAGATCCCAAAGACAACTGCTACTTTTGTTGACATCCAGCTATTCATGCCAGAATGTCAGACCCACACCCATCTGAACATCTCAAATCTTCAAGATCTGAGACTTATTGACCAAAATATTATTTTTCCACAAAGTGAACGTCTGTGGAGAGAAATCCATTTCTTTCACCTATACCCAGTACATGTATGTGTCATGTGTGCACCGATTTAACCTATTTACAGAGGTAAACATTTATGTTTTCCATGTTACAAACTGAATGCATTTACTCGTTTTGCATCTTTATTTAATAAGTTTTGTTGCATTATAAATCAACAGTTTTGTCTTTACTGAAGAAACTCCACTAATAATCTTTTTATATTAAGTCTTAGATAGAAAGAGCATATGATTGGCCATACAAGAACCAGGCAAAATAACAATTTATGTTTCGACCTGAGGAGCAGTGTAACAAGAGAACCTCATAACATGGTAATGTAGAATGTATATTATTTGGCTGCTTTTTGGAATCTGCATCTCCACATCCACAAAGCCTAATCAATAAGAACACATGGAAGATGTAACCAAAGATTGACTGCTGGCCAGGTTTGGCTTCAAATTTAATGATGACTTGCATTTATATAGTACCCTTCTCAATCACAGGACATCACAAAGTACTTCACAGCCATTGAAGTGCTTTACATTGTAGGAAATGTAGCAGCTAATTTTCACAGAGCAAACTCTCACAATACAACAACATGGGAATCATCAGATAGTTTTTTTTACTGTGATGCTGATTGAGGGAAAAATCTTGGCCAGGATACTGGGCAATAACTCCCCTGCTTTACTTTAATGTAATTCATTGGGATCTTTTACATCCTCCTGAGAGGGAGGATGGGACCTCAGTTTAATACTAATGTGAAAAACTGCACCTCATATAGTGCAGCATTCTCTCAGTACTGAAATGGAATGCGTGTTTGGATTTCTATGGTCAAGTTGTCATGGTGTGGACTCAGTCACAGCCTTCTACACAGAGCTTAGATTGCTGCCACTGAATCACAGTTGACACACCGGCTTTTACATGGAAGACATTAATTAAGAATTTGCCATCCATTACGTCTTATACACACTCTGGTTCAGGACATATTTTTCATAAATATTCCAATTCCTGTCTTTCATTTATCTGAAATCAGAAATATGACAGACAGAATCTGCACATGTACATGAAGCTTTTACAACAACAGAAACTAGTCAGAGGATGTGCTGTTTTACAAGAATAGGATCATTATAACATTCTGCTTCTGAAGTTTAGATGTGAGCCTTTCTCATGCAATGAAGTCTAACTGAATGAACAATTAATACAAAGTTTAATTATATTGTAGATATTGTGTTCTGTATAATATCTGGGTTACAAATGACTATGTTTATTTTGCCTCTTTTTGAAAAAAGATATGTAACATACGTTAGGATCTAGACTCACTAGGTGAGTAGCTCTCCTGCCTCTGAGCAGGAATGTCCCTAGGTTCAAGTCACACTCCAGGATTTGTTGACTGCAAAAGGACCCAGCCACTGGTGCAGACGAGCCCGTGTGTATTGTCCTGGTCAAACGGGGAGAGCATCTAGCAGCAAAACCACACACCAAATCCAAAAATGATGGTTGACATGAAGCTGATTATCCAGCATCGTGGCAACCAGGATATGATAGGGAAAACCAAAAGAGAAACTAACCAACACAGAAATGTGCATCAAATATTGTGTGACATCTTAAGCAAACGCAAAAAAATTTTTTTAAAAGAATATGCTAAAAAAAGGTTTTCTTCAATGCACTTTCTTAGTGATGATAATGAGGATTATTTAGATTTATTTAAATCATAAATCAAGCATTCTAAATGCATCATTTACACATACGCGTTCATTTGCTGCTTAGTATTGGCATTCTTTATCCAGCTCCTTGCCTGATTGGCAGAATCTGTCTTCAATTTTTCTCTGGAATGCAGTCAATGTTACATTCAGTGGCTGGTTAATAAACTTTACACAAATGTTTCGAAGACTATACTTAGAGTCTCTGGTAAATGGCAGAAGTGCCAGTTCCAGAAGACTAAGGGCAGATCTCATTGCCTCCCCAAGGTGAGTTTGGTGTGGGAAAATAATTTAATCAACAGAACGGTGACAAGTTTGGACCCAGAAACCAAAACAGAAATTTCTGGAAAAGCTTAGCAGGTCTGGCAGCATCTGTGAAGAGAAATCAGAGTTAACGTTTTGGGTCTGGCGACCCTTCCTCAGAACTTCAGTTTGGACCCAGTCCCACCCAAATAATTGCCTTGGAGAGAAGGCCCACAGACGGCCATCCAGCCCTGCCACCAATTAAATTCCTTGAATGGGACATTAATGCCTACCTAAAGGTCTTATCCTGCCAGTGCTGGTCAGCACCCAGCACGGTGTGGGGCCTTATGATGCAGAGAACAAAACAAACAAACCCATGTGTTGCTGCTTTCTGGTTCCTAATTAATTCCTCATTAAAGTACCTGCTTGATGGACCTAGCATTGGGAAAGGGATGGCAGCAGTGACACTGAGATGAAGTCACCTCTCCCTTGCACCAAGCCCTCCTGCCCACAATCTGGTGATGATACTCAGCTTCTGGTGGGTGTCTTACTGGCAATAGCCACCACTTCCCCAGTGGCATGGCTGATCAATTGGGATGTCCTCTGATTGGCTGGCAACTCATGCAGTGTGGACATTTCCACCCCTAGGGTCCTTGATCCCAGGCCATTCCAATGTTGGCCTGTAAAATGTCGGAGTGGATTAAGTTGCTGCAGGTCTACACTCAGAGAGGCGAAACAGAGCCCTGGCTGGTTCTTCAGCCCATGAATGAGTTCCCCATCAGCTCTATGAGAGTCCCCCATAGGTTACTGATCATTAGGTGCTCTAGCACTATTACGAAGTTTGACCGAGAGTCACTGTGCTAACATAAAATTGCTATATTAAGATTCCTTCAGTCTGTCAAAGTCCCACTATTGCATGAAAGTGGGCACTTAAACCACACAGTATAGCTTAGTTTTGACAAGTAGGGTCCAGTCTAGTATCATAGAATCTTACAGCTTATGTTGTCTTTCAAAGCTCTGCAAAAGGGCAACCCCAATTCGTCTAATTCCTTCATTTGCTCATATACATTTTATCCTTCTATCAAATACACATTGCTACTCATGCGGAATATCTGTTTCCGCAGTGTCGAAGTTTTAGCAATTTGCAATAATGAAGTAAGCATGTTGAAAGCAGAGTTGTGGGAGTTAATTAGCACAATGCTATTTGCTCTTATGCAGTTTCAGAAGTGGATTCTCAAAGGCGTCACAGTGTGATAACAAATTATCCAATTTGTTACCGTCCATCTGTATTACTTACCTCAGAAATCATTCTTTGCTGTGTTGCAGGACAAAACAACAGGCTCTACTTTAATGTTTCATTCAGGCAACAGTGAGTCATTATTTACTTCGCTTAACGTTTACACCAATAGCTTTTCATCAATTTTATCCTGGCATTAAAAAACGTAATATTGCAAATAAATCATCACCACAGAAATTCTAGTAGTGTCATTCAACTACACAGATGAAGGTATGACACCACTCCTCTATCAGCATCATGATAAAATCAAAGGGCATCATTTGTGACATTACTGTAACAGAATTGACTCCAATCTCTTTCAAGTTCTGCTGTTTTCTTCTGTCTTCCTATATAGCAATAATTCCCATCTCACTGCAATACCAGTGGCTGGTTGCAAAATATTGGGTTAAGAACAATCCATTAAAAGAACGTTGGTTTGAATGTAACTTGCTTGTCCATTAATTTTAGTTAATCATGGAAGAGGGGGTACAAAAAACCCAAAACATTTCAAAACAAATTCAAAACAACTACAAATGTCAGCATCCTAGTTCTGTTTAAAAAGCTATCCTAATTTTCACTTTAATGTAAGTGTGCCATGGATTCAATATATAAGCTTTACCTACATTGGTAAAGTTATGCTGAAAGTATCAGTGTGCATATTTTAAACAGTGAATGATCAGCAATATTTGTTTCTTTAATTATTAAAATGTGTGTGCATTTTGCAAAACAATATACAAGTACCTTGTTTCCAATAGCTTTTTTAGGTGGGAAATTAAAGGTGTTCACTAAAGGGAACTTGGTCCTTAGCCTGATGTGCAGTGCTCTGAATTCAGCGTATCTCCTGTAGACGTTCCATTCATCATCTTTGATCCGGATGTAAACCTGTTATAAAACCAATCAAAACAGTCAATACTGGCACTCATCTTGATGCTAACTGAGATAATGATGTGCTACGCAACTGATGATTGTAAATGCATGAAGTTCCTGTTTTCATTTAAAGAACCTGAGCACAAAGGGATCGTAGATAATTTATCATGTACACTGCATGCACCACCAAGCTGTTCTTAAGAACAGTCTACCTTCTCTACAATGCCAGGCAACCTCATAGAAGATACTGAAAATCAACATCCAGTGTAGAAGACAGATTTAAAGGTATGCCATCGTCTCACGCTCTACATGAAAAGATCCTGCTACATAAAAAACAGGAATTGTTACACATTAACTCTTTCAATGACATATTTTTCAATTTCATAGAACTACCAATGGGAACTGTATTTCAAAATGATGAAACATCAGCTTTGTACAGTAAAATGAGTGTAAATTTATTTTTAAGCTGCTTGGCGAGGTTATACAGCGCCATAGCTGCATTTGTGGGAACACATTCCTTAACTTATTGTTTTTCCCTTCGTATAGCTGGGGAAGCAGTTACAATTCCATGTTGGATGTTAACAATCCGTTCAATGGCTGCAGGTGACACAGTGTGAATGGTTGTGATGCCACAAGGAATAGATCTCTCAGGGCTGGATTTCAATTTGTATGTGATAGTCTGACTTGATCAGCCACAGTCACAATTTGAGCTGTTCCACTTATGGAGCAAGGGGTCACACCTCCTCTGTTTCCTCCTCAAGTGATTGAGAGATATCCAGAATGGTGATGTTTGCTGTCACTCAGGAGGCGGCAACGTAGTGAAATTATCACTGGGCTGTTAATTCATAGACCAAGGTAATGTTATTGGGACGCTGGTTCAAGTTCTGCTCTGGCAGATGGTAGAATCTGAATTCAATAAAAAAACACAAATCTGGAATTAAGAGTGTAATCATGACCATGAATTCATTGCCAGTTGTCGGAAAAACCTACCTGGTTCACTAATGTCCTTTAGGGAAGGAAACTGCCATCAGTACCTGCTCTGGCCTCCGTGTGACTCCAGACCCACAGCAATGTGGTTGACTCTTAACTGCCCTCTGGGCAATTAGGAATAGGCAATAAATGCTGACCTAGCCAGTGACGTCCTCATCCCATGAATAAATATGAAAAAGAATCAGGAGGCAGAGCTTGATCAGTTTGTATGGTACAGTGTGTGTGTTCCGGTGAGAGGTTAGGGTGGTGGTGGAGGTGGAGATTTGGATTTCAGACAAGTGCGTGGGATTTTTCTGAGCTCTTATGTCAATAGGAGTACTTTGTTAGCTGTAGTTGGTGGTGTTCTTTGAGGAGGATATTTTTCCTGTGAACAACAGGTTTAATATGTGCTAGCACAAGAAACCACTTGACTTGTGTCGGTCTCAACATTCTCTTAAAAAAAGTAACACCATTCTACCGTTCATGTACCAGACCAGACCACTAAATATTGTTATTATCTGGCTAGAGATCAGTAGCTTTTTCTTTAAAAACAATGTGAAATCCAGGTAGTCATGAAGAGAACAAAGCCAAAAGATTTCAACGTTTTGAACAAATAGCAATAAAATTTACTAGATTAATACAATCTACTATATATATTATATATACATATACACACAATTGAGAAACTAACCTGAGGTAAACAGACAAACTTTGATTGAACAGCCCAAAGAACATATCAAACAGCAAGTTCTGACGAAGGGTCACCGGACCCAAAACGTTAACCTTCATTTTTTCTTCACAGATACTGCCAGACCTGCTGAGCTTTTCCAGCAACTTCTTTTCTCTTCCTGATTTACAGCATCAGCAGGTTTTTATATCAAATAGCCAATCTGGTCAAGACAGAAACCACAAATTTCTAGCTTCAGAACTCCATAAAAGCCACTCTGTTACAGGCTGCCTCAATGTCTGCTCCCATTCTGGTAATTCATCTTCCTTTCCTGCGTCTATGCTCCCCTGAATTCTAAAAGCTGCACTTCAGCACTTAGTCATAGGTACAGCTCTTGCTTTTCACAAACACCTAGCTGTACCAAATCAGTACTGCTCTGTTTTGTTTTCCCCTGAGTTCTAATGCTATTCAGCTGCTCCAACAAAATACTGCATGTGGACTTTTCAGTCTCACTCTCAGCTGCACTGATGTATTACTTGTCTGTAGGCTTCTTTTGAACCCCTCACAGCTCCAAAACCTTCCAGAGACCAGGCCCTAACAGTCACTGCATCTACTGACTTCCAGAACTTTCTCTGAGACCTAACTGTACAGAGCTATCCAACTGCTCTTGAGAATTTTCCGAGCCCAGATATATGGAATCAATGGCCTACACAGCAACACATCTTAACAGCAGCACTTTTCTGCATGGAGTACGTCTGTCACTCTCTTTTTCTGCAGCTCCTCTGAACTATGCTTCAGTAGCCCTTGAACTATTTTGAAAGACCAACTGGAAATCTCAGTTAAGGCTTGCCCTTCATTTCAATATTGAATATAATATTTTGGAAGAGTTGGATATAGCAACTCCTTGGAACTCTGGTTGCTGAATATTACAATTTTTATTGATTGTTGGCTTACACAGTACTAATGCATCCAAGGTAATGGATTTCAACACAAACTTAATTCTGTGAAGTTAAAGGTAATAGATTTTAAAGCTTCAAATACTGTAGTTCCGGGAAGATCGCCCAGTTTGGGGTGTTGATAATAAGGGGACATTGTAACATTAGTCATTTGTAACTCACAAATAGTGCTGTGAAGGCACTTATTGAATGGATACTCTTATCCCTTCAACTGCCAAATTTCTCAAAGCCAGGGAGTCTCTCCACAATGTTTAAAAATAGAAACTTTATTAAAAGGTTCCTTTTAAAAGGCTTCATGGCTGACCTGCTCCCTGAGGAACAACTGTATGTGTCTTAATAGCTCTGTCACAAATGGAATTGAGTGTGTTCAAGGTGGTTTGAGTTCCCGTTTCAGATGTCCAACATTTAACATCCAATTCAAACCAATCTCACCCACTTTTTAGCAGGTTAAAGTCACCCTCATTAACTCTTCAACTTCTAACAATTGAGAATGAATCCTAAGGCACACACAGAATGACTGTTGGGAAATTGTTTACGCAGTTTTTTCATTACTGCTCTAATCTCCAAAACCAAAAACAAGCTTTTGCCAAAATAACAACCATTTTCCAGGTCTCTCTCATTTACAATTATATCACATTTTCATTTTAATGTAATGCTGCTCCTTGCCAGCTTCATTTGACTGTGAAAGGAATTTCAGATCAATCTGGTGGCTTCAAAATCCATTCTAGGGAGATCATTTCTCAGCAGCCATGAGCAGCAAAACATTTTTCAGCTCAAATTGTGTTCATAAGGCTAAAGAAAGCTAAAGACAGCAAATTGAAGTATTTGGGATTTCACTTCTAAAGGTTATTCCAATATTTTAGTCCAGTGAAGATGTTTGTTTTTTCTGTCATTGTTTTGATAAATGTGGTGCTACACTTCATTGGGCTTGAAATCAAGCCCTGCTATTCCTGTTGTCACAAAAGTTCAAATTTTAAAAAGTATGTTATGCAGATTTCCCCAATTTACCTGTCTTTTACACCCAAATTGCCAGAAAGCATGTGTCAGGTTTCTGCACTTAACAAGAATGTTATTTATTGCAAATAAATAGATTCTAACTGCAGATGGGCGATAATGAACCATTGGCATGTAAATCAACTAGTCAACTTATGAAACTCCCTCTCTATATATACACACACACATACAGACAGGCACAAATAAATGAATGGGGTTAATGACAAAGGGAAAGACTGGGAAGGCAGTTCAGGGTCCAGGGATTGCAGAGATGATTCTTTTGCTGATGAGAGAACACTCTTCTTCAATCTTCCTTTGCCAGATACTTTCACTTGTTTGCAGGAAGTATTGAGTAACTAGTTCACACGGAGAGATGGTCTCTGACTTATGCAGTCATACAGTCATACAACATGGAAACAGATCCTTTGGTCCAACTTGTCACTGTTGACCAAGTCTCCCAAACTAACCGAGTCCTATTTACCTGCGTCTAGTCTATACCCCCCCAACTAAACATTTCCTACTCATATGCTTGTCCAAATGTCTTTTAAATGTTGTAACTGTACCTGCATCTGGCAGTTCATTCCACTTATGAACCACCTTCTGTGTGGGAAACATATTAATTAAAGCCACAGCTCAGGGCAATTGCTGAAGGGAAATACACTGGCTATCTTCAGGCTTGATGGGAAGCTGGTGGCGTAGTAGTAATGTCACTAGATTAGCAACTGAGAACCCCAGGCTAACGTTCTGGGAAAATGGGTTCGAAACCCACCATGGCAGATGGTGAAATTTGAATTTGGTAAAAATAAGCTCACCAAATGGCAACTGTGTAACCATCGGGAAAAATTGCAAAAAAAAAACCTGACTCATTAATTCCTTTAGAGAAGGAAATCTTCTGTCACATCTGGTCTGGCATGCATGTGACTCTTCACAGCCCTCTAAGTAATTCAGAATGGGCAATCAACGCTGGCTTAGACAGTGGTGCCCATATCCCATGAATGAATAAAGAAGAAAATGCTTTACGGCTCAGAAGACAACTTCTCCTTCCAGATGTCCAATTGCGTCTGCCTAAATATTCATAAGCTGTTCAGTTACCTAGGAACCAACCACATGGCCATTGGCAGGTGGGAAGCCTTAATCATCAATAACTGGCCCGTGGGGTACAACCAATCAGCTACTTGTTACTGGCCAAATCCCTATTTGCACATAGGCTCTTGGCTCCGGCTAGCCTGTAACTCGTCTTCACCCACTGCCCAAACCCACAGCTATGTAAACTGCGCTTACACTGAGCGTCAGGTCACTTGCTTTTAAGAAGGGCAGCAATCATTCAGAAACCCTTGGCTTTAATGCCCAATTCTTCTCCCTTTTCAGTTCACAATTAAAAATACAGAAAAATAAAAAAAGATATGCTCTTTACAGTAGCAACTTATTAG